TTAATCAAGTTATTCCCCGGGCTGAAACCTCGATCATCCACCCCCGCGCGGAGACGCTTCTACGGTCTCGCTACATAAAAATCGAATTAACCTGCCGCGTAAATGGAGCCCTAATCTGGAAATCGTTGGTCGGTAGAGTTTCCAATCGTTTGCCGGAGTTCCGGTAATTTCCAGACTGGACCACCTTCGATAATCTATTTTTTAAGCCCTCTGACGAGCGATTGATTCGTCTGGCGACTCGCTGCCACATGCTCCGGCAACCTTCTCCATGCTTTCCAGCAGTGATTTACGGGCTGCACCAGACTCCACTGTGTTTTAATATGAAGAAAGTTAGACTAGTGGAAGATTGCCGTTGGATCGGTAAAATAGATTCCCTGTGCATTCACTGTGGTAGTTTTTTGCGGATTCTGAACAGATTTTGATAGGATCTGGATGGTGTTTGGTAGTTATATTAGCGTATAAATTTTCTTAAGGGAACTTTTGTACGCGAGTATAATAAAAAATTTCAAAACCCTAGAATCATTAACCTTCGATTAAAATTACAAGGAGCGTAAAATATTATCCCTTCCAATTACTTGTTTCGAGACTCGTAGGTATTGTGCTTTACGCTGATCAGGAAATCAACGAATACCCTTTCATTAAACTCTATTCAGAGGGGGTCAATTTCTGCGAAAAAGACGATCGTATCACGTGCCGAAAATTAACAAGCAGCTCGTAACATCTTCCAGGAATGTCCTAACCTAACTTCTCGACGCAAAACATTGGGTCGCATGCACCGCCTACGACTTTACGAGCCCTCTGGGTCTGGCAATTACAGGACACTCGGTACATCTGTTCAACGGGGAGCAATTCGTTTTAAAAACTACGAAACACGCACTGTCAACGTGCGTGTCGTGATCCTCGCCATAAAGAACGCACCACGGGCAAACAATTATGGGGAAATAAGAGAGGATTAAAGCAGCTCTGTTGTAGGATGAGTTTCCTGAACACCATTTCGTAGAATGAATCTAAAGTGGGGGGTAAAGGGAATCCAAGTTTCATTAATCGTATGGTTCTCTTTTATTCGACATTTTGTCTTTACTTTTAGAGAGACAATTTGGTATTGTATTATATATTTAACCACTTTTCGCTTAACAAAAATACCTGACCATCGTTTTAGTAAATTCATTTCTCTCGGCGTCCTAACCTCAACATCCCAGCCCAGATATATCTATCCTAATCGCCTTGCAACTTGCGAAAGCATCAAACGACGCTTCGGCATCTCTAAAAATTCATCCGAGGCCGAACAATTTCACCCATCCCCATATTTCCTCGTCCCAGCTCTCGCAGAACTCAGAACAGACCACAGAACCAGTCCAAAACCTCCATTCCTTGAATCGTCTTGATGCACGCTTACCACCATTCGAGAACTACATTCCCGGTGTTCCGACTGGTGCAATAACCTCGAAGTAATCGCGCTAAGAAAAACGCGTAGACGGAAACAGAGAAACACAAAGGCAGACAAGAGAGAAAAGGAAAAGGTTGGATTACGTTTCGAGAAATCGTGAGGAGATTCCATCCGGCTGGCAGGATTTCGAAACACTCGGACTTATTAAATGCAAAATAACACGGCACGGACAAAGCAATGTTTAATCGCCACGTCTTCAACTTGTAATCCTTCGCTACAAGTAGACAACACGACTGTGGAAACGGTATCGATTGCCGGATAATCCGATCTCCTTAAGGAGATTCTCCATTTTTACAAGACAGTCGCCAAACGAGATGTCCGAAATATTCTGAGAATGTTCCAATGGGATTATCTTTGTTCTTGCTAGAAACTACTGATTTCGGTCATTCTGTCTTTCAAGGTTTGCGAAAATCCTGTTTATGCCCAGTAATTCTGTATAATTGTCTGAAATTTGTTACAATTATATTACGGGTTTTTATACATTTGTGGGAATTTTTACTCATTTATGGGGAACCATTTGCAAAAATGTATAGACCGCATAGACGATGCACACGCATAAATATAGATGGAAATCCAGTTAAGGTTGAAAAGCGAGTTTAGGTTCAATTACATCCATAAACGTCTTTCTTTTTTACCCAGTTTTTATTCTGAGTGACGATATAGAGTTGATAGAGCTGATTTAAGAGATTGGATTCTTCCAGTACGATATGAGAAAATAGACGTTTAACATAGAAATTGCAGAGTGAGGTTAGGTTAGTTTAGTGTCGATAGAGATATGGTAATCGTGTCATACTTTGCGAATTTCTCATTCTTCTAGATACTCATTGACCATGGCCAGCCTGAAAATTCGCTGCAATTGTTTAAATGTACTAGGAGATGCGTCTCGCCCAGAATGAGGAGGAAGGTTTGGTTTTCGCGTTCAGCGAACCGTGCCGCGCTTTCCACGGCCATTATCGTCATTGCTTTATAACGTCGCTGCTCTTACGACGTGTATTTTCTTGAGAGCATCTCCGCGGCTATCCCTCCCTTCCGATGTCGCTAGGTTTTTATGCCTTTTTTCGAGTCGTTTCTTTCGACGTTCGAACTGTCTTCGAGGTGGAGATTGAGTGAATGGCACTTTTTCGGCAAGGCTGATTTTTCGATGATTGAACTGGTTTTTGTAGAACGTTGAGATATAGGAAAGGTTTTTCCAGGTTAAATGGAAATCGTGTTTTTCTGAAATCTGAATTTCATAGGGCGGTATATACTATATATAGAACTAGCTATTAATCTTCTTGGGGTTATGAATAATATTTTCGGTTAGTCCTTAAACGTTGAACAAAGTCGACACAGAAGTACGAAGAAGGTTGCCAGAATTGTTGAAAGAAAATTAATGTAGTATAATAGGCATATTAATGAATCGTACAAATAATTGGAAGTCAATAAACATTTCCCAATTCCTACACTATTGTTCTACGAACTTTACATTATTTCTTCCGCATTGCTTCGATCATTGTTATTCAATAACCTGCCAGAAATCACCATACAAATAGTCTTGAACAGAATTTGCTTTTAACATAATTCGAGAAAATTTCCTAAACGCGAAAACAGAACGCAGCGTGATAATCAAAATCCAATAAACAATTCCTAATCCTGTAGCAACCGATCAATCCACGCCATAAAAATCCCCCGAAACAACCTTCTGTTTCACCCCTAATCTCTTTCAACTTCAACCCACGAATAAAGATCCCTCCCCATCGCACGGCAGTTCCCTCCTAAAAGAAAGCACATAAAAGAAATAGAAGGAAACGATAGTCTGCAGAGGTAACTAACCTAACCAACCCTGTAAAACTACCGCTGTCACGCCCGATAGTCCTCGTGGTAGTGGTGAAAGTCGCGAGAAGGCAAGCAGACACGGCCACGATATAATTAGCAGAAATTAGAGTTAGGTCAGAAAGCAAAGTTATCGAGGTGAGTTTCGACGCTGCGCCCGCTTTTCCTCCGTTCTGATATAATTACTAATTAATTACCGTTCCGCTGGTCCTTTCGGCGGCAGCCAGCCTAAAAGGACACCGCGAGGTAAGGATAATTCCTCGTACTGTCGACGAGGGCAGGAGGATGTAACGACTTCCGTTTTAATAATTTTCGTTTCGTGACTCCTAATGAAGGCTATAGCGCGGATTATTTATTCAATTGATATTTATGTAATATGAAAAACTACATGGACACTTGTTTGTTCTTTGCAAGACGTGTTTCAATTAAAAGATTTGCGAGATATTGAATTATTGGGATTTTATTTTTAAATTATCGTAGCTACATACAGTGAGACATAATAATCTTCTTATAGTTGGTTCATCGTAAAAATAAGAAAAATATTTTCTCACGGTATACATTATTTTATATCATTAAATTATTCCTGCATATGAAAAGTACATGCAATTATGTATTATATGCAGATATTCAGAATAATTATTATTCTTGCTTTTTCTATGGCAGCACATTAATAATGGCAATTAATTTATTAACCGCGAATGGCTGGAAGAGATTCATTTTACAGTATTTAAATGTTTACCTCATTACTTAGAAATGCAAATAGCATAACACACAATAAAAAAATTGGATGGTGTAGAATATTTCGTTGCATTAACTCTTTGTTTCACCGTATTCCGTATTAATTCTCCGTATAATAGCCCGTGAACGAACAATCGACTTCATTATGTTTGGATATTATGTTTTATTGTTGATAAACGCACCGCGAAATATTATATTGTAATGAAATTCGAAGTCGCAGATTGAACGTCGTCCATTTTCGAGGATTTGAAAATATCGTTTGAGGATCACAGGAAAAAAATATCATATATGTATACCTTTTTCTGATCTTGATGTCAGTTTATGATTGCCACGTTAGTTCTTATTGATACACTTACTTTAGTAGTAGTTGTACACACGAAGATTTTTTCCTCAAACGTTAAAAGTGTTTTCCTGCGTTGAGATGAAAACGATATTAGGACATAAAAATTCAAGGATCGAAACTGGACAAAACGAAACTTCTCATACATATGCTCATAACATACCATAACAAGCAGACAACGCTTATTTCTCAAATAAGAAAAATTTATGCGATTCATTCTTTTAGAAATATCGTGAAAGAAATGAAACCTAAACAGGAATTTCTTTCACTGACTAGTTTTGCGTATTATCCGAATTCTACACATCTCCGCATCTTCCAATTTCTCACAAATGCATAAAAATCGACGGTTGTAGTGACAGTGATAACCCAATGACCTAACTGATCTTGTATACCACACGCAAACGAAAACTGGCCAACAAAAACGAAGAAAAAGAAGCAGCCAAACCCCGCAATATTTAACCACCTTCCGAATCACTCTCACAGAAGACCCTATCACTCTGTAACAGTCTGTCCTTTCATCTCTTCTTCCATCTCGTCCTCCTGTTTGCATATTCTCGAGGCCAGATTATATCCCGCGCTTTTATTTATCGACTGTCGGCCATATGAAAAAAATGTAAAACTCCCCCGACCAGGTGTGTATATTTCGGCATGTGTGTGTTGCAGGTTGCGAGTTTCCGGCGCAGTGGAACGGCCATTGGTTTCAATCGGGGATCGAGGGGCTAGTGACTGTGAACGGGTCCATGATGACCAGCAAGGGCCGCTGCATCGAGACCAAAGACGACAAGTTCCTCATTCAGGACACGTGAGTCTCTCTCTCGTTTGAATTGCAAGTGAGATATAGTCTGCCTCGTGTGTGTGTGTGTGTACGCGCGTGTACGAACGTTTGGCTAGGTATCGACAGGCGGCCGTCGATATGAAGCGATGCACGGATCGTATTTCGCGTCCCTTTATCCGCGTCAGCCCCCGACACCACCCCCGACCCTCTGCCACCGAGCTTTTATTAATTAACTGCACCCTTCGTTGGCCGGACCCTCCGATAAAGCGCTCCAGGCGACGTGCCAACCGACAGCACAGTATAAAACGTTTCTCCGGCGAAATTCCGCGGCGGAAGGGTTCCGGGTTAACTGGGAGGGGATGATCCAAGGACTCGTGTGTATCACGATATTATGATGGATGTTTTGCTGTCAGGTAACGAGATGTATCTCTGGGGAGGTTTATTAGGAGTTCAAGTTGGATGAGATTTGAAAATGTTTGAGGATGTATTGTATCTTAACGCGAAATTCTTTTAATATTTTATCGTCAGGAAACGAGTAATTTGGGTTTACTGAAGGTTTATTAAGAGCTGAAGAGGATTGACTGAAGTTTGAAGACGTTTGACGGAACATCTTTATTTGATAGTGATATTTCTTGTGATGATCTTTATTTGCAAGCAATGAGAACTATTTTCGAAGTTGTCCATTTGGAGGCAACATTTTTCATTGACTTATTGGATACAAATTTTGTAGACAATCGTAACTCGAAGAACTTGAAATTCTTTATATGTGTTTAAAAATCTTTGAAGAAGTATAACGGTATAATTTTTGTCATTTTGCAAGTTGTCGCATGCTTTGTAAATCGAAATGTCTATTACTAACACAAAAAAAACTTACACAAAATTGTTCCACATATCGCGTCGCGTCACTATACGGAAAAATCCAGTGGATTTGATTGAAAAATATCTGGTTGCGAAATGTAGAGAAGTGAGTGGGTTCCACGGTTCGACTATCGATTCCACATACACCAATCCCGAAATCCAAGCACTCGTTATCCGCAACTTACGCCACGACCAGGATCCAATTTCGCGGAGAGAGCGTTCGCTGTCGTACGAGCAGACAGTATCTACGCGCGTCGCCGCTTTCTGTCCTCGCCGGTATCGCGTTGAAGCTCAGGGCGCGCTTCGTTCAACGTCGCCTTTAAGCCGCGACGATCACCGATAAGCTGCTACCGCCAGGGAAAGAGTGCCTCCTCCTCGCATAGAAATTTCTTTTTCTTCCGGGCCAGAGACGAGAATTTCCGCTTCAGACATTAGAAAACCTCACTCGATACCAGAGAATTCCGAGAAATTTTTAAGAACGTATAAGAGGAACGTATACAGAAAATTCTAGAGAATTTTTCCCAGCGATCGCTATTTCACAGCGTAGAAAGTTAAAAAGGCGTAATTCAAAGAAAAGGGTTCATAAAATAGGAAGATGTTACAAATTCAGAATTTTTAGGCTTTTCTCACATTTACATTGGAGTGGAATTTAAAAAGTAAGAGTATTTTTAGTTGTTGTGTATCTATTATATAATTCCTTCGATGAAGGGAGGAAATTAGTTAAGAGCAACTTTTTTTATAACATTTATAATTAAAATTTGAAAAGAAGTAGCGAGTTTAATTAGTTTCTGTAATTTCGAGATGACAAATATCACGTAATACGAAAGATTTTACGAATGCAATTAAAAATTGGTTAAAGGCAATAATTCTTTATATAATTTCAAACATAAAAATGCCATTTATATAATTTCAAACTCACAATAATTGATCCCACCGTCAGTGCCGATAAAAATCAGCCCCTTGAGCACCAAACGATTTTGTCATTTTATTCCGTCATTAGTATTACGTTTCATTTCGTTTGATATTAAATATCTTTTGATTTCTCTGGCCATTTAAATTTCAAGTTGGCGGAAACGCGGTTTGCGGTCGCGGTTCGAGGCGGACCCGAATAAAATATTTCGAAATTGTTTATCAGAATTTCGTTTATTTGCTCTCTTAGCGCGTGAAACCCTGGAAGGCTGCGGGACGATGAAACTCCGGGGCAAAGTAGTATAATCAACGATAAGACGCGACCCAAGATGAGAATCCTTTATTCCGTTTCGTTTTATCTTTTCCCTCTCTCTGTGAGATTCTTATATTCCTGAGTGACCTTAATATCCGCGCCGAAGAAGAATGAGGGGAAAGAGAAGGTTAGCGAGATCATTTCGTGCACTTTGCGAAAATTCTATTTGGCCGGGTATCGTTACTCGTCGTCCCGGAATAGATGGCGCCGTACGACGAAGGATCAGCCATCGTCGGGAACCGCGAAAATCCAGCAAAATGGCGGTTCTTCTGAAATTCCTCAGGATCTTAATTCCCTTGTCGTTCTTTGGTCCTGTTCTCCGTAGTTCTTTCTCCTTTTTGCCTATCTTATTCCTCGATTTTACGGCGTCTCGGTGTTCGAAGTTTTAGCTCTCTTACGTTCAAGTAGGTCACTGTTTCACAGGTTTTTCTATCACACCGTCTTTCTACTTGAGAAATTTTTATCTGCATTTTGAATTTTTCGTAAAATTGGAGATATAGAAAACGCACACTGTTGCATGTATAGTATAAAATGTCAGATATATAGAAAATCGTGTAGTATAGAATATAGAATAATTTATCGCATTAAATAATTTTCTCTCTGTTATTCTGAAAAATTATTTCAAGAAGACTGTTACACGTTCGAAGAGAAAAGAGCAGATTTTCTGTAAACCAAAGAATCACGTTACCGGTACGATAATGCTTAAGTGGGGGAAATTAACCTAAGTACTAGGAAATGTAAATCTCAGTGTTAGGACAGCTTTGGGGAAAAATCATAAACGCCCGTTGCGAGTTGAAAACGTCGAGAAAGCAAAGCGGGAAAAACTTTCACGAGGATTAGAGCAGAGAACGCGTGTACAGCGTTGGGGCGCTTAATTTTTGACGTTTCGTCGAGCGTCGACCGTGTAAAACGCACGAAAAGCGTGGCGGAAGGTCAACGGGTTGCACCGGAAGCGTCAGTCTCTCCGGTTCGATACTCGAGGCTCGATTTTACCTAGTTCCCCTTTGTACTTTTTCTTTCCATCGACGAATCGAACGAAAGTTTGTTCGAAATTACTTTGTCTAATTTAATTCCTGGTTTTTAACGGGCGATCGAAATAAAATTTATATTTTAGGACGTATTTGGAAATGCAATGGAAATATTGTAAATTATTAGGACACGAATTTACCGAGCTGTCATAGTCTTTTAGATTCCTAAACTAACGTGATTTTAAGGACTGTAAAACGACTGGTGACAACGGTATCTTAATAAGAGTAATTAGCAAATTTTTAGGAAGATGAGAAATATAGAAATTGAAAATTTCATTGAAATCCGGAAAACTGATATATTAAAACTGTAAAAGCAATTTTTCATGTACCTCCATAGCCAATTTTGTACAATTCCATTCATACCAATATTTCATCCATTACAAGTATCTTTTTCTTTTTCTTCTTTTCCATTAAAAACATTTAGCTTAATTTTATAACGAAGTGCAGTAGAATGATAAAATGCTGACGCACTGTTAATTTAAGAATATATTAAATAATCGTTAGTTTCAAATTTACACAAGAGGAAACGTAAGTAGTTTATATTAGTATCTTACATCTGGTAAAGGGACGAGCAGTAGAAATGGGCGTTTAGAGACAGACAGGCGTTCAAGTAGAAATATCGATCGATGCACTCGTATACTTAATGGCGTTGAGAAAATACGTCTTCGGTGCAACAGTATAAATTTACTACAATGCGACAAATTCACTTTCCAGTTACTTTTCTCGCCATAAAATTAATTTATCATAGTTTATTACTGAAATAGTGGACAATTTACGAGCGTATTAAATTTCTGAAGGGAAATTAGGCTTTTGTACGAAAATTGAGAAAGTTTGGTAAATGAAAAATTAGGAAATTGTTAGTATTTCCGAGGCTCTGAGCTGGGAAATTTAGGGAACTAGAAAATTAGGAAATCGAGGATCTGGAATATTCGGATTAGGAATTCTGATAATTAGAAAATTAGAACGTGGGATAATCACTATTGCGAGGGAATTGGACAGCAAGAGAAATTGCATTATTAGATAATTCAATAATAATTAAAGAAATCCAATGTAATAGGAAATTAAAGTAATTTGGAAATTTGAAAAGCACTAAAGAGCATTATTCAACTAGTTGAAGCTTTGCACATTAAGGAACTCGATTATTCGATATTAGGTGAATTAAAAAACTGGAATAACGAACATGAAGAAAGTGGACCGTTTAAAGATCTGAAAAATCCAGAGATCGAAATACTAAAAATTTTGCAACATAACAAATTCCAGTGTCTAGAAATTTTTCCGTGAAAGAGACCTTATACGATCGAAACCTGAAAGATGTTCAGTTTGATACTCGAAAATTGAAAATTCATAAATACAAAAATGAACGAAATCCAAAAAGTAAAAAAATCTCCTATATTAACAAACCAGAAAAGTCCATCTGTGAAATTGTCTCAAATATACAACTACCTCGTCCAATGATTCAAAATGTATAGTTTCTTCTGAAAAGTGCACAACGCATTCGCGACTACTCGAGTATTAGACATTCTCAACCGAACGTTCCGATATCAATTTCAAACTTAGATCACCGCGATCCACGCCACGATGTCTAACCTGGAGAATGAAACTCGATGAAACGTGCAACTCGACAATGCCCCTGAAACCGTGCCATAACTCAACGAACCAGCATGCTGTCCCCTTATTGACACGCAAACGTTCGACGAAAGTTGACAACCACTGACACGGGGACAAAACGAGCGTCGCGGCTTGAAAGAGCCGGAGAATGTTGCAGGCGGACAAGATAGCCTTGGTAACCGGGCGAACTTGAGAGTTAAGTTTTAATTAATGTAATGGAGAGTAGCGCGTGATTAGCCTTCCAATCAGTGAGCTCCTCTTTTCGAGAACGTGGCCTGGCGAGAAAGCAAAAAAAGAGAAAGCAAGAGGAA